TAGTATAGCACACAACTTGCATCGCATAGCCAGGGAATTATAGAAGACAAAAGTTAACCCATAATCTGGGGAACTTGTTATAGCAAGGCCGTGGCATAACATGGCACAGCATATCAACTGTAAAACCTGAAGATATAGGAAACTGGTATTAAAGCGTGAACGTAGGCGTAGCAACGCACCTACCGACCTCGCGAGGTTCCCGAATAGCTAGGGAATTTCATGTTGTATTGTGGTCGTGACATAATATGGAACAGCATAGCAGGTCGTAGAAGTATGCTTATAGGATCATTCCAGTAAACCTGGCCATGCCATAACATAGTACAGCTTGACAGCTCCAAGACCTCATGTTATACGAGGGTCAGGTTATAGCGTGACTCGCAAGAGAGAAGCATGTGGCCACGCACCTGCTCTTTTTCAAAGCCCACGTGTTGTAGGTGCCACAGGTAGCAGGAGCACAGGTACGGGCATGCAAGCGACTGCAAAGCATATAAGCCTATTTGTCTTGCAGTTCGCAGCAGTGGAAGCAAAGAGCGCTACCGCATGAGACACGCATAGACAATGAGGTCGAGGAAGTTGTAATCTGATTGCGACAGGATCTGCCGCATGCCATTGCGGAACAAAAATAGCGGTCTCGTATTCCCAAATCGCCCATTTCATCATGCGTTTGCGGATGTGCACGGACATAGAGCGCAACACGCGCCAATCGTCTACATAATCACTGTGCTCACGCCGATCAGCTAGCACGATAGAACGCGCAAAGCGCACTGTCGTGTAATTGATCTGGTCATGATAGCGGCCGAACCCCGCATCCTTCATGACATCCATGATACGCGCGACGGAAATGGTGGTGCCGGCTTCCTCCAGATAGCACGCGATGCTCTTTGAAAGAATGGCAAACTTTCGACGGTTCCTGCATAGATAATAAAAAGTACCAAGCGGGGTCTGGCGCTCGGAAGGGTTGCGGAGAAGATGTTGTCCAACGGTCCCAGCGCATAGATTTCCATCGCGATAACGGATGTGCCGGAAAATCACCGAAACCCGCTTCCCCATGGCTCTCATAGCCGACGCGCGGTTGAGCATCGAGGGCGATCGCAAAACTTCCAAGCACATAGCCACCATAGGCGCCTCCCAGTATACTTGACAGAGAAAGCCAAATGAGAAAACGACAAGATGGAGATGCGCGAGGTGATCGACTAACATAGACCAAACCGTTCGAAATGCACGTGCATCCGCACGGCTGCCCGCGGAGTGAATAGCGCAGCCGGTGCAATCCTGTACCCGCAGGTTGTCACGATAACGAGCCCACGTGGGGTGGTACACCTCGAACATGTGATTCTCCATGTGCCGATAGCCTGTCCAGCACACCCAACCGGCGTCCGCGTGTTTCCATCTCCGCCCTTCATGGCGGCGCTCACAGTATAGACAGTACTTAGTACCGGTGTGGAAGACGGACGGCATAGTCGGCCCACAGAGTCCTCGCAGGACCCTCTTTGGACCCGACCAAAACGCCTGAGCCAAAACTGCAGCGACACACACACCACACATACATCACATGACGTATAGAAGTGGAATATATTGATCTGGCTCCAGTATAGCACATCATAGCAAAGCCAAAGACGTCTAACAGAAAAAAATAAATGAGTATCAAGTTTTCGAAGGATTATAGCATAACGTAGCATAGACACAAGCTATCTCACCTCTTTGTTCCCATAGCGTGCCCGTAGCACGCCATGCCAGAGCAAGGCGGTAGCATTGCATAGCGCAGGATAGCATGGCCATGTCATAGTGATAGTACAGCATGCTATGTCAGAATATAGCACAGTATGCCTTACGACCTCATGCTATAGGAACCTCAGGTTATAGTGTGATTATTGGGATAACAAAGCAGGAGATCCGTAAGAGATCCATAAGAGGCACCAGGAGGCTCCCAACAAGCCCTCAGGAGGCCCCCAAGATGCCCCAAAACGGCCCCTGCAGGCCACCCAAATGCCTCCCCCAACACGCAAGCAAGTGCCAGCGACGCTACACGATGGTCAGGCGGAATGAGCGAAGCGATTCAATAAGTGAACTGACGTCATAGAGTGACCTCAGAACCAAAACACTTATGATAATCTTACTATAGAGTGGTTGAAGCCGAGCATACCAGAGGACAGTCGCCTGACAAGAGACACGCCGTGGAAATATATCGAAATATCGCATGCGCATGTGCACAGAAAATGAGACATAGACAACACTCGACATCGTAGAAGTAAAAACATAGTTCAATGGAATGCCATGCCAAAGATCATGAGATAGGAATCGCAATCGTGTGAACGCGATTTGCCTCTCGCATGTTATGGCAGCATAACGTAGATTACAAAAGGCGAGTTCCACATCATCTGGGTAACCCCAGATGATAGCGCGGCTGCCGCATAACAGCAAGCGTGCCGAAACAACACAATGCATCAAGATGGATATCAATGTCGAACTGTGAATCATATATAGTTCGGCTTCACGATAACCCAATACAGCCCAAGAAGGGTCTGATACAGCCTCAAGAGAGTGTTTCGTGCAGGCTCCCTCGGGCTTTTGCATAGTGAGATAGGTGCATGGTGACGATTTAGGGTTTAGGGTCCCGCCCGCCCGACCCGCCCGTTAGGGCCCCGCCCGCCCGACCCGTCCGTTAGGGTCCCGCCCGCCCGACCCGCCCGCTAGGGTATACCATGAGAGGAGATGATGATCTTTATGTGGGGGTGGAGATGCGGGGGGGATTGATAGCCACCGCAGGTGGGTGCTTATGCGGGTAGGTATTATTGGCCTTGCCCTGTTAGACCCTAAACCCTAAACCCTAAATTCCCAAGCACCTCGTTGTGCTTCTGCCCACCCACCGCGCATCACCGTCGCCGTCTACGAGAGACAGGGCATCTCTGAGAAGCGTCAGCTGGTTGCCAGACTGGGTCGCCCATGCAGCCGTAGGCTGCCCCCTGGGAGTCGCGATTCAAAGATAAACTTTCCCTTGATCCTCGAAGAATATAACACCCTAAACCCAAAGACTTTTGACTTGGATTTTGCCCCTATGCTTCTCCGGCGCGTAAAAACACGTGTGGGGCGCTCCGAGCGCCTCTGGGCGCATGTGGGAGCGCCTGGGAAGGTTTGGGAGCGTCTGGGAGCGCCTGGGAGCGCCTGGGAGAAGCGCCTGGGAGCGCCTGGGAGTGTTGGGAGCGCTTGGGAGCGCCTGGGATCGCCGGGGAACGCCTGGGAGCGCCTGGGAGCGCCTGGGAGCGCCTGGAAGCGCCTGGGAGCGCCTGGAAGCGCCTGGGAGCGCCTGGAAGCGCCGGGGAGCACCTGGGAGCGCCTGGGAGCGCCTGGGAGCGCTTGGAGCGCATTGGGAATTTAGGGGCCAGCGGCCCTAAACCCTAAAAGGCTTTAGTTTGGGAGGTCGCCGGCCCTGCGGCCGGGGGTGGGAAGTGGTTGCAGCTCTGGTGCCCTTCGCCAAGCTTGATCGGGTCGGCTAAACGCCCCCCCAATCAAGCTTGCCGAAGGGGGGGCTGCCTTGCCTTGACTGTCGGCCGCTGCGCGCCCGAGAAACCCTAAACCCTAAACCCTAAACCCTAAACCCTAAACCGTTCCCTGGGGCACCTGGTAGTTGGTGTGGCTTCCCATGAGATCCACCCCAGGAGCCCCCCCAGGCAAAGGACCTGCAGGCCCACGTTGCAATTTCTGTGTCTGAAGTGCGGGTGTTGGTCTCAACGGTGTGCCCGCAAGCTCGCGGACGAATGTAAGCGCCCTTCACGCAAAGGAGCCGAGGTCCTGTCGAAGTATGCCCAAGGTCTTGGGCCGAGCAACCGTGCACGCCAGTTTATAGATCGTGCTGCCCGTGCTCACCACCTCCCCCCCTCTGTCGACGGGCCCGAGTGTGCGGACCCGCACGACGGTCCCGACAGTGTTTCAGGCGGAGGGTGATGGGGTCCCAGAGTATGAGCGCCGAATGTCGGCGCTGAAGGCCCGCATCGCCGCTCAAGAGGCGAAGACTGATGAATTGTGATTTCAGTGTTTCAGTTCGGTGGGGTGCCCTGTCGCGGCCCAGGGCGGAGTGTCGGGAGCTCCGCCCCTGGGTAACAAATGTCCCCTCTGAGGGACACCCCGCCGAGTAAGACTTGCGAATCTCTTCCCCCTGGGGCTGCTCTAATCTAACCTTATGTTCTTCCCCTCCTCCTCATCCGCCTCCCCGCTGTCCTTCTCTTCTCGCGCCCCTCCCCACATACAAACTTGCCACTATGCCAGAGATTCGGACAGAGAGTGGAGCAAGCGTGCTGCGATAGTTTTATGACATCTGGGTTGGCCAGTTGTGTCTTTCCCCCCTCCTCCTCTGCCTCCTCTCTTCATTCCCCCCCTTCTCCTCTCCCACACTTTTTCTTCACACGCGTTCACAACTCATCCAGCGTATGGTTGCCGAGGCACTGCACTGACTCGCTTCTTCCATGACCCCATGAATTCCATCTGTGTTTGCGCCCCTCTGTTATTTCTAACGCGTCGGCAGGGCGTGACATCTTGGAGCTCTGAAGGAGGGAAAAGAGGTCTTTGCTTGTCGTCATCCTCCAACGTTCTTCGTTCCGTCCAACTTCCTTCGAACAGTATGGGGCCGAAGACGAGGAGCCAGAGAAAGAGGAGGGAAGAGGAAACAGAAAGGAGAACACCCTCCTCCTGATCCTTCTTGTCAACTGGCTCCCTGCCGCTTGTCCTCTTTCAACGCGTGCGCGGGGAGGAGGAGGCGGAGGCGGAGGAAGAGGAGGAGGAGGAGGACGAGGAAGAAGAGCAGGAGGAGGACGAGGAGGAGGGCGAGGAGGAGGAGGAGGAGGAGGAGGACGACGACAACGACCATAAAAATTACCTTTGGATGGCCACCGTCGGTCGCTCTACCGCATCTTATCATATATCGGGGGACGTCAGCTGACAACCACGCCGATCCTGGTGCCGGGTCCCTGTACATGCGCCGAGCCGCACTGAGTCCTAGTTTGCCTTCATGGGATGAGGTCCGGCGTGTGCACTTTCTGATTTTTAACCCGTGCAGCCCACTCGGCCTTTGGCACAGAATCGAGGGAGGCCATCTCCTCTGCAGTGAGTTCAAAATCGAATATAGCGAGGTTGTCCCGCATGTGCGCCGGATTCGACGTGCCAGCGATCACGTGCACGTCGTGCTGGGTGGCCCAGCGGAGCAACACCTGCTGCGGTGTTTTATCATGGGCCTTTGAGATGAGCCTCACGCGGTCGTCCTGCAAGAATTTCCAGCTAAAGGGCCCGAGAACTACGCATGGACACGTAAACTTCGGACGTCCGCGGACAACTTTTCTGCCGGCGCCGACCTCCTCCTCGTACCCACCCTGGCGTGCAGAGAGCTGGGGATGTTCCCGTATAGCTCTTGGAGGGCTGGAAAGGTTTCATACTCGAAACCAGCTGGCAAAGGTAACCCCACCTCGTTCCAGTCTCTGGCAAGAATCCCCGCAGCGGCTTGTTTGACCCTCCAGCGTGTTCCGGCAAGCCTTTCTAACTGTTTCATGATACGTGTGCCGTGAAGCTTTTGGGAACTCATTATCTAGAACTGCCAGAGATCCTTCGAATGACCTTCTGGAAACTTCTGCCGCCTCGCTATCCTGGATTTGGCCACCAAAAACTGCCAGAATCGTCGTTCAGAGGTGCGGAAAGGGGGTCCCGCGTAGGCGGAGAAATCGTCCGCGGACGTCCGAAATTTACGTTCATGTGGTTTTCTGGTCCTTTGCTTGCCCTTCCGAAGTCCGCCACCGATGGAATTGAAAGCCGTGACCCCGACACCGTTCTTCCGGCAAAAGTCGACGGCCAACCGCCACGGCTTCGGAACCCACGGGTTGTACTCGAGCTGATTCATGGCGATCGGGGCTCGCTTCAGGTCGATCAAGGGAGGCCAGAAAATCACGCGCGCGCACACACACGCACACACGCACACGCATACACACAGACACACGCACACATCCACGCACGCATCCACAGACATAGCACACCCGCAGACACAGACATAGTCACAGACGCAGACATAGACACACACAGACGCAGACACAGACACAAACACAGACACACACACACAACACACACAACACATATTTAATACATACGCGCACGCAACACACAACACACACAACAGACAGACGCTGAAGTGTATACTGCTAGATCCGTGATTTTCATGAACTTGTCTATGATCAAGTGCCCCAGGTGCCTCAGGAACCCCATGATAATCATAATGAAGCACTTTTTTCCCATTCGAAATCACACATCGCTGCCAGCGGGGATGGAGCTAGTAGACTGATGTGAGCTCTCCTCTGCTGCGGCCGCGGCTCAGCCCCCTGGGAAGCTGGCAATTTGACGCGGACGACGTCTGGACAACAAATGCAAAGACATACGCACTCATGACAATAAGTTTAAGTATATCGAAGCGACCATGTTACATGAGAGGAGGGAGCAGCAGGCTGGTGCTGGCGACGGGGCCGGCGCGACCGCTGACATGCTTGCCTCGCAAGCGGTGCTGAGGCGAGAGAAACAGAGACTATAATAACCACGGGGAAAACACACGCGCACGTGCAGCACGTGCACACGCACACGCACACACAGACACATAGACCCACAGACGCACAGACACAGAGACACAGAGACACAGAGACACAGGGACACAGAGACACAGAGACACAGCGACACAGAGACACAGAGACACAGAGACACACAGACACAATGACATAAAAACACACAAACCAGACACACTGACAGAAAGACACACAGACACGCAGAGACACAAACACACAGACACACAGACACAACGGAACACAGACACACACCGACACACAGGCACACAAAGACACACACACAGACACACACACACACAAAAACACACACACAGCCACACACAGAGGCACATACAGACACACACAGACACACACACAGACACACACACAGACACACACACACACAGACACACATAGACGCACACATACATACACACAGACGCACACAGAGACACACAGAGACACACAGACACACACACAGACACAAACAAACACACACAGAGAAGCACACCGCGCCTGCTATGCTCTGAACGAGAGGCGCGTATAGCGGGACCCCCCCTTGCGCACCCCCGTATGGTGTCGAGAAAATGCCACGCCTGCCGTGCCCTGCGCCATGGCCCGCATAGACGGTGCGCTCGGGAACCGCACCCTGCGCGCCCGCGCGCCCTCTCTTGCGTCGAGGAAGAACTGCGCCTGCCGTGCCCTGCGCCATGGGCCATGGCCCTCGTCGACGCCACGCTCAGGGGCCGCACCCTTCGCGCTCCCTCTGGTGTCGAGGAAAAGCAACGCCTGCCGTGCCTGCGCGCCCCCTCTGGTGTCGAGACAATGCCGCGCCTGCTGTGCCCCTGGCGTCAAGAAATAGCCGCGTCTGCCGTGCCCTGCGCCATGGCCCGCATGCCTGCCGTGCGCTGCGACTCGAACACGTATGTGTTGCAAATGGCGTCTCATGCGTATGTGTATGATGCGTGTGCGGCCGTATCTGAACGCGCGTTCCGTGTGGGTGCCCAGTCTGTGGTGCGTGCGTCTTGGGTGCGATGCAATGAATGCGCCAGGCGCGCACTGGCGTTGTTGCCGTCCAGCGCCAAGCCGCGGCCGTCGCCGCGAGCGGGGCGCTCGCTCCTGTCGCCCCGCGACCTGGGGCGCCAAGGGCCGCCGCGGCCCGCCCGGGGCCCGCGGCGGGCGCGCAGGTGACCGGGCAAGATGCGCCCTGCAATGGCAAATCGCTGCAGGAAAAATACTGGTAGCTTGGCATTCGCGGCGCGCGTCGCTGAGCCGCGCGTTGTCCCCAGCGGAGCCGTTCCCGACTAGGTTCCGGACTAGAGCGCCCAGGCAAAATCATAAGGGCGCTGCTCAGTGCCTTCCTTGCGGGAGGCTAGGCGCTTCCTGGCGGCGGCGTCGGCATGCCCGCGAAGCTCGTCGTCGGGAAGTTCGGTGAGACTGGCGGATGCAAGGGCGGCGTCGGGCAGGACGAGGCCCCGCCCAACGGTCGGGGTCGCAGTCCCAGCTCTCGGGGGGCTTGTCGCGCCCAAGGTGCGGGCGACCGACGGTGATCCAGCATTGCGCGATGAAGTGCCCCGCATCGCGCGCGGGCGCGCCGTCCCCGGGGGCGGCGAATAAAGGGTGCGAGGCCGCGCCCGAGACCCGGCGGGGCCGGCGGCCAGGGGCGTCGGGGCAAAGCTGTGCGGGGATGCGCGTGCAGCTTGGTCAGTGTGCGCCGGCGGTTGGCCCGCGGGCGCCGCGCCGGCCGGGGCAGCCCGCCGCTCGCGGGCAGCTGGGCCACTTCCCCACGCATGCTGGCGCCCTCCCGCCAGGGCGGCGCTGGAGAAGAGGCGGCGGCGCTCGCGGGGCTGGGCGGGCCGGGGCGAGAGGGTCGGTCGGCCGGGGGCGGCGCGCGCCCCCCCCCATACCCCTGGTCGCCAGTGGCTTCGCACTCGCGCAGGAAGACGCGCCGGGCGGCCCCCGCGCAGCCGGCGGCGCCTGAGGGGGGGGGGGGGGGGGGCGTCGGGGGCAGAAGCGACCCTGGCCAGGCCGACCTGACAGATGGCGGGGTCGCCGAGTGGCCCGGGCGGAGGGGCGGGTGGGAGTGGCTGCAGAGGGCCTGGAGGACGCGGTCGCCTGGGTCGCTCTCGCCGACTGCCTCCGGCTGCAAGGGTTGCCCAGGATGGCTTATCCAAGCGCGCGCCGCGTGCGCCGCGAGGCGTGCGATGGCTTCGAGGCGCCCTTCCACGCGCGGCGGCCCAGCAATCGGCCAGGTCGTCGGTGGGCGCGACGGCGCGGGCGAGAGCGCTTCCCGGAATGGCCTGCCTCCGGCGAGGCAAGGGCGCAGCGTTGCTGAAGTCGCCGGCCAAGAAGGTAAACTCTTCGATGTCCCGGCCAGGAAGCAGCGGGCAAGGTGGGCGGGGCGGCGGGCGGCGGGGAGAGCTTCGGGGGCGCTAGTGGCAAGCGGGGGGCGAGCGGGCGGCGGGGTGACTCGTCGGATGGGTCGGCGACGTCGAGCGGGATCCGACAGGTCGCCTCTGGCAGGGTTCCGGGGGGGCACCTGGCCGCAGCGCGACTTGCCCCCCTATGTCGCGCGCTCGTCGCTCGCGCGGGGGCCGCGCGCGCGGGCGACGGAGCCGGTGGCCCGGCTGTCAGAGCAAGGGTAAAACCCATGGTGGCGAAGGAGGAGGAAGTGCTGGAGGGCGAGGCAGATGTTGCGGGCGTCGCGCCCGGCCCTGGGCGAGCTGCGAAACCATCTTGAGACCGAAGGCGCCGGGTGGGGGGCGCGCGGAGATGGGGCGGCGAAGGCGAGGCGAAGGGCGCGGGCGAGGAAAAAGAAAGGCGAAGCCCTCGACGCCAGCCACGCAGCTCTTCGCAAGCCCCCCGCGGCAGAACTCCAGGAACGGGGGGCGGCGAAGGTTGGCGAGGATGGCCTTTGCTTGCTGCTGGCTGCGAAGCAAGGGCGCCGCTGGCCTGGCTGCCCATGGGCGGCGCCCTTTCGAGGGCGGGGGCGACCCCGAGTGCGTCGCGGAGAAGCGCGCGGGTGAACTCGACGGGGCTGACAGGCTCGGCGAGGTGGCGCAAGGGCCCAGCGCGGTCCGCGAGCTCAACGAAGGCGCTGGGTTGCGCGCCGCCGCTGGCCTGCGCCGCTGCGGCAGTCGCGATCGCGGTGCGCCCCCGCTTGCCGCGAAGGAGCGCAATGTCGAAGCGGTGGGGGCAGTCGAGGTGCGGCTTCGTCCCCTTGCGTCTGGTCGACGGCGCAGAATTGGACGCGGCCCCGCTCGCGTGGTTTCCACCCCGAGAAAAGGTTCGGGTGGGCCGAGGGCGGAGCGTGAGCCGCGGCAGGCAGGGGGCGCCCGAGGGGGGCGGCAGCTCGATCGCCACCGAGCTCGCGCCAGAGCCAGCCACCCAGAGCATGCCCACCTGTAGCCTGCAGGGCGAGGAGGCTGCGACCGAGGTGCTGGGGGTCGAGCCCGGGCGACGAATAGGTCGAAGACGACCCTCCCTTCGGGAGTTTGCAGCGCCTGGCCCCGCGGGCGTGTTCGACGGAGGGCGCCTGGACAACGAGGGCGCGGTCGGCGTCGCCCAGGCGGAAAGCGAATGGCCCGTCGAAGCAGCGCGCGCGGGCCAAGCAGCGCTCGCCTGCCGGGTCGCGCGCTCGGCGGCCCAAGCGGGATGCAGAGGGGGCAGGGCTGGAGAGCGGCTGGGCAACTCGGGGCCGTTCTCGCTGGGGCGGGCGTCGTCGATGACCTCGATGCGAACGGGCCGCTGAAAGCCAGGGGGCGGCCGGTGCGTCTCGCGTAGCTCGTCGGCGGACAACCCGCGTCGCAGCGCGCCCCTGTGGTGGGCCATGGGCGGGGGCCGAGGGGCGCATGCAGTAGGACGTCGCCAGAGAGACGTCGAGGTCGGGATCGAACTGCGCCAAGTTGGCGACCTTCTCCAGGAGGGAGGTCTCGATCCCGAGGGCGACCGCGGCCTCGCTGCGGGAGCTGCGCGGGAGTTGCGCGCGGCCCCCGACGAGGGCGATGGGGGCGGTGTCCGCGGTGGCGACAGTGAGCTGGGCCATGGAGATAGCCTCGGGCGCCTGGATCTGATCCCTACTTCGACCTGCCGCAGTAGCGCAATGCAGCCGCCTTCCCCAGCGTGACACACACATATGATTGTAGACCCGTGGCCTACGAGAAGTCCGAGCAAACCTTGCGATCGCTTTTGGTGGCAGGGGGTCTGTGGCCCAGGGCTGCCCGCCTGCTGGCGGGAGTGAGGGGCTTGGCGGGGTCCATGGCCTTGTCGGGGTCGGAGATGCGGCTGGTGGTGCCCCAAATGGGGGCGCCGGCGG